TGATCAGGCTGCTGGGATTCCTCCCCCAACCCTCTCAGGTTTTATCTGATCGTGTGCAGGCCTGTGCAGAGGTTGATTAGCCTTAAATCAAGYAGCTTAGCACAATCCATGAGTAAATTTAAACTGCATCAGAAGCTCATTGCTACAAAATTTGGTTTGAAATAAAGGAAAGCCTGTACAGTAACACAGTCTTTTACCACAGTCTCTATTGTTTTTAATGTTTAAGGGTATTTATTTAGAGTGTTAGTATCTACAACAGCTGATACAGAGTGACCTTCTCTTTATGTTTTAGGAATAAAGTAGTGATACTTTAATATACTATTCTTGGAATTTTTTTTCCACTTACCAAGTGATCTGACATTCATGAGGGAGAAGAATAAAAAGCTTCCTCATATACATGAATCCTTCAGGTAGAAAATTTGATTTTATGCTTTATGACTATGCTGTATCAAAAATACTTAAAATTACTATAAGAAGATAATGACTGTGGAGTTGGACTWGGTAGCTGGTAGAGATGAATGCACATTATATTTCAAGTTCTAATGTAAATTCTAGCTTTCAGACTCTAAAATTTTACTTTTTAGAGCTTATGATTTTCTTTTCTATAAGAGACTGCTGTAAAAATAAATCCTGAAATTRTGACTAAATATACAAACCACCAGGGAAGAAAATGGAATATTCAAGAGATGTGATACTGGTAGAAAAAGATAACTACTGTTAGCTAAATCATTGTTTTAGTGGGAAAATAAAGGCAGTAGATGTGGCATTTAGAAAAGAAAAATGGTAGAAAATTATCAGGTTTTAGCTTTTTTTACACTTCTAATATAAATCTGTTCATTCTGGTCATTCTTTACTTTGATTGCYCATCTGTAAAGGAGGGAGAATGGTCATTTCTTCTTCTCTTGGCTTTTTATTTTTTGTCAGTTTAGATAGTGAGAGTTTTAAAGTAAATTTCAGGGTCAGTTCTGTAAAATCAATAGGAATTAAGAGAATAAGTACTATGATGGAGATGTAAGGGTCCAAACTATTTACAAGAATCTGTGGGTTTTTGATTTTTCTTTTTCAAAAGTGAATCGAGTGTTTCAGGCTGAGGAACCTCCATGGGTGAGGAATTATGCTCCATTCATCATCACATTTTGGCTGCTAATCAAAGGAAGGACTGCCAAGGGTTGTTAGGAAGTGATTTCTTTAAGAGAGAAATTTAGGAAAACTATATTATAAGCCTGTATATAGACTTTTCAGGTGAAATCTGAAAGTCCATGCCATTGCTCCCATTTTATACAACACAGAAATATGAAGTCCTTAATCCAAATAAATTACCTGGATGTCTAGGTTCCCTTACATAGCCAGCAGCAGGTACTAAGCTTCCTTGCGAAGTACACCATGGAACCTATGTGCTTAAAGCAGCCAGCTGGAATCAGTCACAAGAAATTCAGATCAGAGACATGCCTGAACTCCCCATCTTCCCTGGAGCCTGTACATCACTGAAGGCAGCACTAGGTTCCTGAGGGATTCAGAAACATCCAATTAGGTCTCATTCAGAGTGGAAAAACAGAGTTCTGGTCACACTGCACATCTACAGCTTTCAATTTGCAGTGTAATCCTAACCATCACTGTCAATCAGAAACACATCTAGAAATGAGGCTCAAGCCATGGCYAGGAACATGTATCCCAGTTGGCATTTGTGATCTCTGTGTGGGAGGGCAGACTCCTGCCATGTTCACAGTACAGCAGAAAGTTCTGGATGGTCTAACAGTCACATTATTGCTCTATTCTGTTCTTTATTTGTGTTTGGTTTTGTACAGCTSTAGTTCAGCCTTTCAAATGGTAATGAACTATGCTGTTTTGAGAACTCCTTAAACTGCTTTCCCCCAGGCCTGAAAGATGAACATTGTTGATCATCATGACTAATGGAAATGTCAAACTTTTTCAGTAGAGATTGGTAAAGTACTTTTGGCTTTTGATTTCTTTAGCCTCAGAAGCAGAACTTGTGTTGGACGTAATGTCATTCCCAGTGGCTGATACACAGTCATTCCTGTTTCTGCAAGCCTGAAAACATTACAGATAAAAAAWTTTTCCATCTGTGCAGAATTGAGTAAAGACTTCTCTGTCAGTCTCAGGAAATTTGTCCATCGTCATAGCCAAGAAAGAAGGAAAGAAAGAAAAGACCTAAAATTCAATTAGGACAAGGACATGCTTCTCTCAACTCTGCTTCACAGCACCTGATTTCAGTATTGGTGTAGCTTTCAGCTTCATCTACTAGCACTGGCAGCACAGTTTCACAACCTACAATTTCATTACATTATTAATTCCAGAGGAGCATAATTTTACAGGAGTATCTAACTCTTATGTGCATTCTAAACCACCAGTAATAGTTTCCATTTCCATCAAGGAGCAGTGTATTCTGGCATGTGATTTGCAGCTGTTGAATACTATCTAACAGCTGTTTTAAAAGGGAGAAATTCAGCTAGAATATCAGAATGCAATAACTTGGTTGGAATTAAATCAAAACCTTCAAAAGGAGTCATATGATCTTTTAATTATCAGTTACTCAATCCTTGGTTTTGGATGACATTGTGGCAAATCAGTGTCCACTGCATCCATTATAAAAGAATGCATTCAGTCCTAAAAGTGAGACATTACCTCACAATATCTTCAATATTTTACAAAAACATTTTCATGTCATAGATAGAGAAGATGCACTTTAGATACAGTTATGACAAAGTGGGCATTACCTTTTTTATTAAGCAAGTATTTTCAAAAAAACCTTTCAAATGCTATTTGAGTCATAAATACCAAATAGCAAACAACCGTGGAAACATTATTATTTTACAGATTCTTATTTTCCCTCTTTTGATGCTTATCTCCTGCTATGTTTACAGATGACAACCACCCTTGCATGGAATACAAAGCCAGTTCTTTAAATCATAACCTGGAAACAGTCACTGCRTCATGTTCGTAGCTGTGTTCTAAATCTATTTCTTTTTTTCCAGGTACAGGTTATCAGAATTCTACACAAAACTTAGTCTGTGGCACTGATAGGTCCATTCCTTCCTATATCCCTCATTTTCTTTTTCGCAGCCACAGAAGTGGTTCACAATCATCTCATTTTCAAACACTCAAGAGGAAAAATATTAGGGTTTAAATGCATTCATTTATTCCTTTTGCTATTAATTTGGTTGTTTTGGCCTTCCAAAATCATCCCATTTTTCTTGAAGAGTGCTCTAATAAAGATCTTTCCTGATGAYGCCTCTCTTTTGCTGTAATAAAAAATTCCATTCTTTGAGCCACTGTAATCAGTTTCTCCTACCTGTCAATTCTTCACATAAAAAAGTACATTTGTAAAAGTAAATTAAAAAATCATGATGCTAGTTTTTATTCATATAAGCCTTAGCCTGAAAGTGCTGTGTTTTACAAAGGGTTCCACTATTTTTTAAAATGATAAAATATTGTAAATACTATCATATGTACGTTAGTTTGTAGTTTCATTATTTCACCTTCATCTGAGAAAAATGTGCCTTTTATGATCACAATCATCAGTGTTCCTCATTATCCAAGTTTTCAGCTCATTTCTGAAGTCAAACATTAATGTTTGCTCCTGCCATTTGTTTAGAGTAATAAAAATTGCATGTGTTTACACAAAACTGGAATTTGCATTTAAGTGGTTCTCTCTACACTGTCTGTATATGCACAAAATGCTCTGAGTGGGTTTAAAACTAACCCAGATGCAATTTTCCAGCCTGTAGCTGAGTTACACGCCTGAAACATGCCTGGATATTCAGAAGTGGCATATGGGAATGTAGCCAACTGTTGTTCTCTTCCACATTGTCCACAGTAAACATGTTTTAGACTTAGCTGCATTGACACTTCACTTGCCTTTGTGCTTGAAAAACGTTTGGATGAGGATGCATCATAGTTTTTTGATACTGAAAATAAACTGCATACTGAAAATTGAGTCATCTGATAAACCACGAAGGATTTTTCCTCAGCAAGGATACAGCATGTTCTCATGCTGTGCTACACGGAATGAGTTGCAAGCATACGAGTACCTGTAAATGAGCTGGGTAGGAGTGGAAAGCYGAGATAAGAAGCTCCCTATTTAGATGGCAGATTGTTCTTCTTTAGTTTGGAAGAGTGAGGCTGGCTACTGAGAATGTAAGAGCTGGCTGCAGTCATCATCTCCAGACAGGAAGCATACTGGTGGGAGAAGCAGGGCGTTTGCTTTAAGTCGTTAAAATGTTATGTCGTTTCTTCAGGCTAAGCAAACAGATTTAGCAACAGGGACTCCAGAGCACCCAGAGTTGTAACCTGAATTCTGAGGACATCTAGTGGTGTCAGCCCACTGCAGGGACGGGGTCTTGGTCACAGCTGGAGGTTTTCCACCTGCACATCTGTATTGCAGCCGAAATTTACTGCAAAATTAAATGCAGCAAAAACAGTTAGTTGAATGCACAGAAAGAGTAGCATTCTTCTGATCAAGTGATCCTGAATTCGACTATGACATTCCCATTGAGAAATTTGGGATTGGATCAAAAATCACAAACTTCTAAGTAAGTGTTGGACCTTTTCTATTTGACTTCTGTTTTCAGGGCTTTCAGGGTTTGAATACGTTAACCTCTTCTTTGCATCAACAGGGATAAAAGTATATTTTTATTATTAAAAGGCTGCTTGCTTAGATTAATTAATTAATCTAAAAGTTAGAACTGTAAGATATGAGCCCAGTGTTCCAAGAAGCCAAAGAAAAATCCAAGATTTGTTAATGCTAAGAAATTGTAATCCTAGCACTGCTGACCATTCAAAGACCTTTGGGGAATACTTACTTGCTTCCCTGTGATTCAGGTGTTCAGCTTCCAAAGTGGAACTGTTGGTGTTGCCTCACCTTTTTGAGAGAGAACAAGAATCAATTAGCTGCAATTCAAAAAGGACTTTGATCAAGTCAAGTGATACGTATTACGTACTGAGCATTGTTACTGACTGTTGCATGATGGCGTATTTTTCAGTGAGTCCTTGATCTGATCCTTTCTCCTGAGGAGAAACTGGCATCATGAARCCGAGACTCATTTCATCAGCTCAAATTATTTTGCAGCTTGCTCTGACTGCAGTAGGTCTGACTGGTAAGTACAACACTTCCTGAAACACTTGTTTTTCCTTCAGGCACTTTATTTAGAAAAGTCTAAGCCTTTACCCAGTCTATCCTGACCGCCACTGGAGCATGTACCTATTTAAATTACTTTCTTCTGAAGTTTTGTATGGCAATTTTAAAAATGGGTGGAGCTCTCTTTTCTTTTTATACTATTAATTTAAGGATTGCTTGGTGGCAATACTGAAAGGCACTTGATGACCCCTTATACTCACTTTATGCCTGTCATCCTCTTGGGAATTAGCATATGAATAGTTACACTATTTGAGATAATTATGTGGAATTTTAATGAAATAAAGATAAGCTTAGGTTAAAAAGCCACATGTTTTCATTGAAAAATGTATACAAGTGTATTGTCTATGTTCTTTGTGTAAGTTAATGAAAGTAATCTCAAGAAGAAATATTCTTAAATGTGTTTGAATTAATAGRGAATATTCAAATAATTAATGAATACATTCAAGTTGCCAGTACACAAAAATAACTCCATCCAGAACATTGATTTGCTTCATTTTATAATTGTCTGACCTATAATTTACCCCAAATAAGCACAAAGAGTGCAATTTTAGGTCTGCTGCAAAATTGAGGGTGGAATTTAATCTTATAATGATCTGATGATAAAAAAATTAACATTTTAAGGGAAGAACGCCAAAGGTTACCTACTTACTTCCAATATTTGTAGTTTAATTTGGAGACAAATAAACAATTTTGAGTTTAGGTAAAAAATAAACTTTCACGTTAAAAAGAGAAGCAAAATAATTCTAGTAGCTATTTTAGAAGTCTGAGGTAAAATGTATTTACTTTTCTGAGAATATTGATCCTTTTCCTAGGCAGAGTTATTTGCCCAATTCAGTCCATGGTTTCATGCAATTTTATTGACTTAAAAGAGCATTTCTTGGTGAACTTACACATCCAAAAGCACTGTCCAYCTCTAATTTAACTAGCTGGATTTTTGCACTTCCCTAGGTCAATCGTACCCTGGAAAACCCCAGATAATAAGATGTCGTTCTCTAGAAAAGGAAACCTTTTCTTGTTGGTGGAAGCCTGGCTCAGATGGAGGACTTCCTAACAATTACACCCTATTCTACAGCAAGGACAGGTAACAAGTGGTGCACATGTATTCTGTAAGTGATCAAGTGATGGTTATGACAGACTGAGGGAATGGCAACATTGATTTGTAAAATTGTTTTTATGAAACCATTTTAACCTCAAATAGCCCACAGGGGCTGCATAAGGTCTGTGGCTTCCCCTGTTAGAAGGAAACATGACCACAGCCCCAAATCTTCAGCCTGTCCCTCCTGAATCTCCTCTACCGAAAATCCCACTGGTTTGAAGATGTGCTGTGAAAAAAGGCACATTTGCCCAATTTCAGGAGGCACACAGCTTTCAGTTGGGTGGGGTCTTCTCTGAGCAGTGGAGCACCAGGGCACCACGGGGCAGCAGGTATCCCATCCCATCACCCCACGGAGCAGCAGGATGGGGGCAGCCCAGCCCTGGGCATTGGTCACATTTTTGGSGATGGGGACAGACTGAGGACAGGCTGGGCTGGGACATCAGTCAGGTTGGGGCTGGCTTGGGGGACCTGTGGCTGGGAAGAGCATGGCTGTGTGGAGCTGGAAACCAAATGGACTGGGGATCTGTGACCCAGGTAGAGCCTGGGGGGTTGGGCAGGGGCAGTGAGGGCTGGTGGTGCCCTTGGGGCCCTGCCAAGGAGCTTGTCCGTTACCATGCACCCCAATACCTCCATCTGGCCTATAGACATTGTTTTCCTTTTGGTTTTGTAGTCAATGATTCCCAMAACCAAGTGAAATCAGACATGGGTATCACATCTCGAAAGTTAATATTTTGGTACATTGTAAGATCCTCTCATCCTCTTCAGGAATAAAATGTGTATATTTTTTTAACTTTACTTAACCTGTGCATCTATGTATAGCTGTACTTTCTGCCTGAAAACAAGAGATCTTTGAACAGGGACAAGTAAGCAGGGAAGCTCAGACACTAATTTTTTTTTTTAATAAAGCCAGTGAGATTCAGAATAGATAAGGTACAGCCTCAGACATCCCTGCTTCAAATAAATATTCCAAATCACTATGCAGGAAAAGATGCAATCTTTAATGAAGTTACCACACTCAACAATTATTTGAGAGCTTTTATTTTGTGAAAGCCCGGATGTTTCAGTCTTGATCAAAAAGTTTAATGAACATTTTAAGTCATATCTATCACTGCCCAGAGCAGTCCTGCTCAGGGAGTGAAAGAAGTGCTTATCTATTTCATTAAATCTACTGAACCCAGGCATTGCCAAGTACTTTAGACCTGAGCCACAGCTSCTTTCTAGGCTAATTTTCTCTCAGGTGCTGTCCCCTTTCTCCCATCTTTTCTTTGAGAACTGTGATAAAACTGCCTAGGAACTAAGAAACCTTATTGTGGAGGAGGCATAGAACATAACAGGGGGACTAAAATGCTTTCTTGCTCCACATCAGCTGACTCTTTGGGTTTGGGTAGTTTTTCACATCTGGGGTAGGCTGTGAGTACATCACCTAGGCCAGCTTTGAGTATAAAACAGTCCCTCTCCTAAAGAAGCCAAAGACCCATATAAASGCAGTAAATAAGCAACCATAAAGTAATATCTTTTTCCTTTTGAGATAGTTGTGATGATGATCATCTTAGAAAGCAGACAAATTGGCATCAGGATGGTTGTGGAACAGATTGCCTTGAGTGCAACCACACAGCACATACAGGACAACCTCGAGATCAGGCCCAGCCACCATGGATTTAGGAAAGGCAGGTCCTGCCTGACCAACCTGCTCGCCTTTCATGACCAGGTGACGAGTCAGGAAAGGTTGTGGATGAAGTCTGCYGGAACCTCAGCAAAGCCTTTAATAATGTCTCCCAAAGCATTCTCCTGGAGAAGCTGGCAGCCCACAGGTTGGACAGGAGCCCTCTTTGCTGGTTTGAGAGCTGGCTGATGGCTGGGCCCAGGGAGTGGTGGTGAATGGAGTCACATCCATCTGCAGCTGGTCACTAGTGGTGCTCCCCAGCTCTCAGTACTGGTCCTGTTTAATATCTTTATGGATGATCTGGATGATGGAGCTGAGAGCACCCTCAGTCAGTTTGCAGATAACCTCAGGCTGGGAGGGAGTGTTGATCTTGGAGGGCAGRAGGGCTCTGCAGAGGGATCAACCAGGCCGAGCGGCACATCCTGCCCTGGGTCACCACAGCTCCAAGGCAGCACTACAGGCCTGGGACAGAGCAGCTGGACAGYGGCTCAGCAGAAAAGGAGCTGGGGGTGAGCACRAGCCAGGGTGTGCCCAGGWGGCCAAGAAGGCCAATGTCACCCTGGCCTGTGTCAGCAATGGTGCGTCCAGCAGGACCAGGGCAGTGACTGTCCTGTGCTGGGCACTGCTGAGGCTGCACCACAAAGTCTGTGTTCAGTTCTGGGCCCCTCCCTGCAAGGAGGACAGTGAGGTGCCAGAGAGGGGCAACAGGACTGGGGAAAGGTCTGGAGCACAAATCCTGTGAGGACTGGCAGAGGGATCAGTGTTTATCCTCCCCTGAGGAGGCTCAGGGGAAACCTTATCCCTCTCTACAAATGACCTGACAGAACGGTGCATTTGTGCAAATCAGTCTCTTCTGTCAGGGCATTGCAATAGAACAAGAGGAAAAAGCCTCAAACGGCACCAGAGGAGGTTCAGGTTGGACCTTGGGAAGAATTTCTTCACAGAAAGGCAGATTAAACACTGGAATGGGCTGCCCAGGGAGGTGGTCAGGGAGCTCCAGTTCCTGGAGATGTTCAAGAAATGACTAGAAGTGGCACTGGGTGCCRTGGTCTGATTGCCCAGATGGTCACAGCTTGACTTGACAATCTTAGAGGTCTTTTCCAACATAYATGATTCTCTGAGCTTGCTGAAAACAAACTAACCACTAAAAGAGCCATCTGCCACAGGGCCCATAAGGTTCATTTCCAGGGGTAATATGCAAAGAAGATATTTAGCAACTTTTCTTGTCTAATCTGAGTAATATTTTTAATTTCCCTTTTACTTCCTTATAAATATTGTTAAAATTTTCTTGTATCTGGAAATTTCTCTTTCTATTCTTTTGTCAACATATTTCTAGATATAAAAAAGGGGTGAAAGCATTAATCAGAAAAACTGCAGTAAAAATATCAACAAAGCATTTGTAGTAATGGCATTTGACGCATACCAAAATGTTTCCAATGGATGGGATTATAAATATATATATAAAATATACATATGATTATGTATAGTTTATATATGTAAGATTATATATAAACATTTCAGATTTCTCAACTGAACCTAGGCCAGTATCTGCCTAACCTAGAATATTATCTACTTTGCTTCATTTCCTAAACTTCTAAATTTTAAATAATTTTATTTCAGTGAAGAAAAGATCTATGAATGTCCAGACTACCTAACATCAGGTCCCAACTCCTGCTACTTCGATAAAAACCACACTAATCCCTGGACAACATATATTATCACTGTAATGGCAACAAATGAGATTGGAAGTAACAGCTCAGATCCTCAACATGTGGATGTAACTTCCATAGGTAAAAATAAAAGAATAAAATGTGAAACAAATTAGTTGGAGATGCATGCAGTTTTTAATCCCAATGGTGACAGATTTCTTTCCTCATGATGTGAAACTTGCTATGGAGAAGTGTTTTTCTACAGATGATCTAAAATAAATATCCTAAAAGTATGTGAAACTGCATTTTAATTATAGATTAAGTAACTACATACTTGATTGTATGAATTTTGTTTATGAATATGTATGAATTTTAACTTCATCTGAAATGCTTCAGTTGCTAGTCGCCTGCAGTATTTTAATTAGAYTTCATGTAGACTATAAAATTTTCAAATTAAGCTACCTAATATTTCAAATATAAAAGTCTTTCCAACTGATGGTATTGCAGTCTTGGAAGAGTAAAAAACAACTGCCTGAGCATTCTACAGGGTTTTTTTTAAATATTTTATATTCCTGACTTTATTCTACTTTCTGCACACACATAATATACCCACCATAATTATAATGTACTTTGTTGTTTTACCTATGAAATGGCTGACATTTTAACTTTGCAAGAGTGGCCTAATRAAATTAGATTTTATATTTGCTTAGCCTGACGAATTCAGAGTGAATCAGTAGCTGGTTAAAATTGTTGGAGAGAAAGGAAAAATAAAATGCTTCTTTACTATTCTTTTATGGAAGTGCTGAATTATCTGAAATGGATGTGATGACACACAAAACCATAAAGAAGGTGTCTTTGCTGAGAGAAAATTATATCATTAATGTAACACTTTTTATTCATTTATACAGTTCAGCCAGATGCTCCTGTGAACCTCTCTCTAGAAGCAAACACATCTGCTAATGTGTCATACCTTTGGGCAAAATGGTCTCCACCTCCATTAGCTGATGCCAGCTCTAATTCACATGTTTATCACTATGAGCTACGATTAAAGCCTGAGGAAAAGGAAGAGTGGGAGGTAAGGGAAAAATATGTTCATTTTATAAATGCTCTATTCAGCAAATTCTCTGGTGTCCATTTAACTGGTCCTATAAAAATGTCACTTGGCGTAAGGATAGAAAAGTTAATGCATCCGAATCTGATTACAGAAAGAAAACCATTGCAATGGTCTGTAGAGATGTGAAATTCAACATATTTACATATCATCCTAATGTCATATATGACAAAACCCAGTTGTCATCATCCCCTTTAACATGATCAGTTGGAGGCAACCTGGCCCTCAACAAACACACCATTTTCACTGATATTCCCCACATGTTGCCATATTTCTAGGAATCAGCTACACTACTGCTACAGCTGAGTTTTAAAGAGAAAGTACCATTCTTACAGTCATGTGTCCTCATAGTTACCTAGCTTGTTGATGCCTTAATGATGGAGCAAGCTGTGCATTTTGAAATAGTTCTGAGGAGAAATTTGAATGGTCTGAGAAAAACATTTAAACCACAGAGAAGAATTTCATGGGTGGTTTATATGTGGGCTGGACTACCTACAGTATTCCTTGCATTATGGGTCTAAAGGAGTACTAGGAAGCCTACAGTTAAATATGTTCTTGAGTATCAGAATCAGCAGTGACTTTTTCAGCTAAATCACTACTTTTGCTTATTTGTAATTCATATCATATAAATACCCAACTTAAATCCCTGATTTTCAGCAGTMAGTAACTCACACCTGTTCCTTTATGTTTTGTTTGTTGAAATGGTCCAATTCTTYGTTATTTTTCCAGTCCATTTTCTTTTCCAGACAATATCCGTAGGAATGCAGACACACTACGAGGTGACCAGCCTGCAAGCTGGGGCAAAATACATTGTTCAGGTGCGTTGTATGCTGGACCTCGGAGAATGGAGCGAGTGGAGCTTGGAAAGACGCATTCAAATCCCCAAAGGTGAGTGTGCTCTGAAAATTGCTTTTAAATCGTGGCAGAGTCAATGTTGTGAAGGTGCCTAAATGGCAATCCCAAAAACCTGCCCTCTTGCATGGATATTCTGTAGTGCTCAGTGTATTTTACCATCCTTTCTGTGTAATTGCATTGTTAGTCTTGTTGACCCACTCAACATCCTCTGTTGAAAGTGGCTGTGACAAACAGGGTGGCATTTACTAGGAGGTCACTTCTGATACAGGCATGTCTAAATGATTTATTGTCCTTGTCCCTTTATTTAAAAATCATGTTGATTTTATCTGTAGCTATAAATATCAGGTAATATTTTTTTGTATAGGAGCCTGGACTGAAAGCACTGATGTTTCTAACAGAGCATGACACTTACAGATACGATCACATGGAAATCACTGTCTGTGTTTTCTYAGATTTGAGTAGACACACTAAATATGCATGACATCATAATTTGTTGGCAGACATTTTAGCCAGGTTGTCTCAAAACATTTTCTGTTAGTTGTTGTATTATTCATTATTTGAGGTGGAGGTTGCTGAAGTACTCTTAATAGAAAAATATGTTTTAAATATCCCATTTTCAAATCTGTCTTAGGCAGTTAGAAATTTGGAAATCAATATCTCTGCTCTACATAGCAGGAAATATATATTATGGATGTAATAGAACCATATTTCTGCCACAAATACATAACTGCAAAAGTTTCAATCACTTCAGGGCTTGACTAGCATCATCCTGTTCAAAATTTAAGCRTTTTTCTCTGCCCAACTCTTAAGTGCTATTCTTGAAACCATAAAAACTTGCTCAGGAGCCATCATACAAGTAGCCTGAGTGCTGAACATAACAACACTACAATGAAATATGAGAGCTGCTTCTTTGTATCTTTGGCATACTTCAGAAGAAAACTCCTGGCAAGAACAAACAAATAAACAAATATTTACATGYGTCATTTTTTTAACCTAAAAGCCAAAGCAAGTGGCAGCATARCTTTCAAACAATCAGAATCACCATAAAACACACTTCTTGAAGAAAAAATTGAGTTTGTATGTAGTGGTTTAAGACCCACTGGCACCAAACCATCACACAGCTGCTTGCTCATACCCCACCATGGTGGAACAAGGGGAAGAAAAAAAGCAAAACCTGTGGGTTGAGATAAGAACAGTTTCAATAATTGAAACAAAGTCAAATATAATAATAATGATGATACATAATGATGAAGATGACAATAAAAGGAAACAAATCTTGAAGAAATCAATTGTTCACCCACTGTAGATTGATGCTAGGCAGGCCCCGTTTCCAAATCCTGATAGTCTCTGGTTCCAGGGAACTCCCAATTTTTTGTACTAGGGATAATGGTCTATGGTGTTGGAACATCCTTTTGGTCAGGTCACATGTCTTGTCTGGACTCACTCCCATCTTTTTTTTTCTGTTTTGTACCTCTTCACTGACAGAGCAGGAGACACAAAAATGTGCTTGGTTTAGGATAAACATGACTTAGCAACAAAATATCCCTGTGTTATGAAAATTATTCTCATTCTGCATCCAAACCACTGCACTATACCAGCTACTGAGAAGAAATTAACTATCCAGCTGAAACCAGGACAGTATACAAAACAAATTGGGTGGTAATRTATCTTTTAAATAATTTTATAGAGCCTGTTATGACAATATTTTAACACTCCTTATGAGATTTTGGGGTGRAAGAAAGCTACAGGCATGAAACAAAAACAGTTCTTCAATGAGGCTGCAGAGAGGATTCTGAATCCAGGTGAAAGTAGGAGGTTGCCCAAAACAGTGAACAGGCCCTCCTTTCCTGTGCTACTATGAAACAAAACTCCTACTTTTTTCATATTTTCCTGTTCTCTGCTTGACATTTTTTTACAAATTCAAGATGGACCTAATGGATTAAACTTATTAATTAGATCATTTATTTTTCTCCCACAGAACAGTTACCTCCTGAAAAGCCTACAATAGTAAAGTGCCGTTCTCCTGAAAAGGAAACATTTACTTGTTGGTGGAAACCTGCTTCAGATGGAGGACTCTCTACTAACCACACTTTGCTTTACAGCAAAGAGGGGTAATAAGCTTTGTTTAGTTACTCAGTGCTTCTTTTATTGGAAGGACCTGGAAAATCACTGGTTTCTTACTTAGGGAGATGTCGTTTTCTGTGGTTTTGTCCAGTGGCATATTCTGGGATAACACTAAAGCAGCAACACATTTAAGACTGAAATCTTAAATCTTGATCTCTTTATAATGTTAGGTGAATTATTGTGAATTCTGTTCTTGAAAGTATCTATTGATCAGTAACTACATATTAGTAAGCAATACAAATGCACAGTCCTATAACTCTTCAACCATGCACTGTTAGAAATAAAATTGTCCAAAGCGACTAGATACTAAAATTTTTATCTTCCCTTAAGGCTTATTCTGCATTAGTATTCATAGGCCATGAATGCCTCCTGGTTTCTGTRGTATTATTTCCCTGGAACTTAGATCAAGTGCTAAACATGAATTTTTAAAAAATGAGTCAGTATTTTTTTTAAGTTCTGTGAACTTTTTTACATCCTKTTTGATTCATCTGTTACTGCTCAACTTTGCAATGACCTAAGTAGATGCTAAACCCTGTAACTGTCAGCTGAGAGCCCACTCTTAGTGGAAAAAAAACAGACACTGGCCCAGCCAGGTATGGCAGAGTAAGAGGTCCACATCTACAACTTTCTCTTTTGTTATTGTGGACCGAAGAAGAGCATGAAAACAAATGCTACATACTCAGCTTTCCCTCCTACCTGGCATCTGACTTTGGGAGGCTTGGGTATGGATGTGAAGGAGAGGTGCAAAGCAGATTTTTTTTTTTTGATGAACAAGAGATGAAAGACCAAACAAATCTTGAAGCATATTAGGGTAATATGCAGAACTCCTGTAAATGTGGAATGAACATTGGAAATACCTAATTTTAAATAGATGAGTTAGAAGACTTCAGCAATCTCTTCTACTCAGTGTCAGGAATATGTGAGGGCTGTGGGCAATGCAGTGGACTGTGGATTTCAGAGAAGTAAGASCTATGCTATCCTAGCCCAGAACTGCATCTACAACAGCCTAAATTCTTCAGGTTTCTAAATTCTTCAGGTGCTTACTTTGTGGGGAAAATGCTTAGTACAGTCTCTGGGATTGTCCAATGACTCTTAAGCCTGGAAACAGTTTTCTGATTTTCTTCACATTTCCAGGTGTGAAAAATCAGATCCAGCCTTAAATAATGCTGAAGTACTAGTAACCAAAATCAGGTGTTTTAGTCTGTGTAACCTAATCACTGGGATTCTTTCATTTCAGAGAAGAAAAAGTTTATGAATGTCCAGATTACAAAACTGCAGGCCCCAATTCGTGCTACTTCGATAAAAAGCACACCTCTTTCTGGACCATATACAATATTACTGTGAGGGCAACTAATGAAATGGGAAGTAATGTCTCTGATCCTCATTATGTGGATGTGACTTACATAGGTAAGAGTTAAAAAGTAGTTTCTGTGGAACCAAATAATTCAGAATCATGGGTTTTGACACAAGAATTTTAATTCCAGATGTCCTTGTATATAATATTATATCSAAGTTAAAAACTTTTACACCTAAGATATTCCCTGATGTAATAACAAATCAACATTCATCCCTTTACCATTTTATTTTCAGAATAAGCCAGAAATGCTGAAAGCTTTAAAATCATGTTCAGATAACCATTTATTGGTTTTCCATATTTCTTGTAGTCAAACCCTAAGAAATGTCATCCAGCTAAAATATTTTTTCCACTGTACAAGCAACTGAAATTAATTTGATCTTTTAACTAATAATACTTAAATCTCATTACCTAAAAGTAGTTTCCAGACCCAAGAGAAGCTGCATTAGTGCTTTTTATAGCAGTGTACTGATAATCTCCTTCTCAGACTTTTTCTACAGAGAGACTGTGGACAAGTAATTAGGGTTTTATCTAAGGGAAGGGAACATTATCCTTGATAACCATTTTGTTGTCAAGGATCTGGCTGCCAGGAGAGTGGCAACTGGAAAAGGGCTCCTGGAGAAATGGCGTTATATTTTACCTCCATGCTATGACCTAATGAACCTTTGATCAGACAGTGGTAAAATACATGCGCAATATGCAGAAGCTCTACCTCTGAACAAGGAAGATGAAAGCCTGACTGTAGCAGAAACATGAGTGCCATTTTGCTTTATTTTTRATACATAGACAGAGCTTTAATATTGCTGGTTTGGTTTACTGCTAAATATCCTTACAGATGAGTGTTGGAATAATTCTGTCATGTTTTTTGAATGTGAAAGATGAAGGGAGGAATCTTCATCAGCTACATCCATGTTTTCAGCATTCCTAAGTATTTATGCCAAGCTTTAGTAAGATTATGCTAGAACACAACTTTCATAATGCAGTGTTAAAGATGTTAACTTTGAAATACAGTTGTGGGAGAACAATAAATGGTAATGTAAGAAAAAATATTTTTTATGATAAATGATTAGGGCAAATCTCAACACTAACTCAACGTATTTGCTACTATACAGTTTTTTTAAAAATTCAAAAATCCATACTTACTTCATCCRAAAACTCTTGGTTTCTATATTCTGGTATCAGTTCTGAATTACTAGACTCGAGGGAGATGGCAACTCTTCACTCACATCATTCTGTATCTCTTCCTAAGATGCAAGGGAAAAATCACTTAGATTCTTATTGACAGTTCTTTTATTTCAACAGTACAGCCAGATCCTCCTGTGAACATAACTCTGGAATTAAAAAAGTCCATAAATAGAAAACCATATCTGGTCCTGACATGGTCTCCACCCCCACTAGCTGATGTGAGATCTGGATGGCTGACCCTTGAATATGAATTGAGACTAAAGCCTGAAGAAGGAGAGGAATGGGAGGTAAGGATGTTGCAAAGTTTTGTTAGGTAATGTTTTCTGACAAGCTAGATTTTGTCAGCCAGGTGCCATGCCTGAATATAATGAGACACTAAATAGCTCATCATTTTTCAGAAGTGCTTGTGTGACCTGTGATTTCCTGCTGAGAACACTGGTATCTCAGAATCACTCAGAATCACTGCTATTGTACAGATGCTGCTGTACAATAGCAGGGGACAAAGYACTCATTTTTAATTGTGGTCATTATTTATTATTCATATTAGTTTAATTATGATATGATTATTCATCATTGTAGTTGAAATTGTTCAGTCTCATTTAGTCAGGTTTCTTTCATGATAATTTGTTCTTAACCACAAGCACTTCTTAGATAGCAGAGAGCTCAGTGACATTACATAAAATAATACAAATTTATATAAATACCCATTAAGTGGCAATTGTAATGGCTACACAATAATAATAATTTTCTATAGCCAGGATCTTCAACTCAAACAACTGAGTGGAAAATTAAAGACTCCAGCTATTGGTTTTTTACTGCGTCTCCTTCTTGTCTGCAATACTTCCAAACCACCTCTGTATCTTATTCCTCCTTCSCCCTTCCACTGCACTTCCCCACCCTCTGGCCTTTGCAAGACCTACTTTTTACTACCTTGTGCATTCCCACCACTCCACATTCCCTCTTTCTCTCTGCATTTCCTTTATCCATCTCTGTTTCTTGCCTTGTCCTCCTCTTTCTGTCACCACCATTAACCACAGGTCCTCCCCTATTTGCATATGCTCATTATGTCTTTTTACAGCAGTTTAATTTGCACTGCATGCCGGAGCCAGATCTCATTCCCACCTGCTAGAAAGCTAAATTTAAACTATAGAAATAAAATAAATGTACCGTTATTCCATGACTGGTTAACAATTATTAGGAAAAGCTATCCAGATTCATTCTGTATTCCCATCTTGATTACCAAAACCTTAGCTGTGACTTTTATTTAATTTTCAGACTATTTTTGTTGGACAGCAAACACAATGTAAAATGTTTAGTTTAAATCCTGGAAAGAGGTACATTGTACAGATTCACTGCAAACCGGACCACCATGGATTGTGGAGTGAGTGGAGCCCAGAAATGTACATTGAGGTCCCGACTGGTGAGTGGCCAGGCATCCCTTCAGTTAATWATTTCTTTTGTTTTATTTTTGTTTGTTAGATGTTTGGGGCACCCATGCAGTTCCCTTAGTTTCCCTATGCAGTTCCCTATGTTCCCAGAAAAAAACATCATTGCTAAGGTAATCAAATCCTTATCATCCCTGCACCATACCCAGTTAACTTTCCCCTTAATTACTTTATGACAGCATTAAGAAGGTGAATAAATTTCTTTGCTTATTTAAACCATGTTCTTTCTGTCTATTGCCTCATTTGTTCTCTTTATAGTAGTTTTTAATTAAAAAAACAATGGCAACTGCATTAAAACTGTGACACAGACAACAAAGAGCAGCTGCCTTCAGACAGTAACAGCTCTTCATTACTCTTTCTCTGGAATTAAAGTTAAATAGGCACTTCAGTACAAAAAGTGCTACGTTACAATAAAAATCCTTAAAAATAACTAATCCTAGGTCACTTTACCCGGCATTTAATTAATTGTATAATATGTATTTAATAATGAAATTACTACAGTTTCAGTACAACTGGATTTGAACCCAATCTATATAATTGACTGACAATTTTCCTCTTCATGCATTTTTATATAATTTTTCCAAGGCAGTTTATTTCCTGTGCAATACCATTAGCAAAAATTAAATTCATTATTTGATATTATAGGGATTGCTGAGATCCATCTGTGCTGGTGAAAGACTCTAGGTTCGACACCAAATTTGGCAGATTAGGCCARTTTTTAAAATAAAAGTAATTTGTGAGGTTTTTTTGCATGCTGACTACGCATGTGCTAGCTGCATGTCCTTATAATTCTGTTTGTTTCTTAGACTTTAGAGTAAAAGATATGGTTGTGTGGATCATCGTTGGTGTCCTGTCTTCTCTTATATGTTTAATCATGAGCTGGATAATGATTTTGAAAGGGTACAGGTGAGTCACCATTTCACAATTGCACAGAGTCCAAAATCACAGAAAACTTTTCAAAAATAGACTTCTAGTATTTGATTAAAATTTCTATGGCATTTTCTTATCTTATAAACTACTACTTATGGGTATTTGACTTAATTTGCAATTGATAAAGCAGTATTTCTGCTTCTTCGGGAAACCAGGCTAAATTCTCAGTTGGTAAAGACTCTATTAGAGTCTCTATTAGATCTGACTTATCTTGATTAGTTGTGTAATAATGAGCAAACATTACCTGGAATATGCCCGTTCCTGTAGAAAGCAAATCTTYGGGTTTTGTCATAATTTTCTGAAGTAAGCAAGGTTATATTATGAGGTTGTCCTCCTGCCCACCTCTCTGTCAGTTTCCCAGATAATTTCTCACAATGCTGGCTAATTTCAATCAAATTTGAAACAGAAAGATGTTGCAAAGATTATTGCTTTTGTACAAGTCTTGMAAAAAACACTGGCTGAGTAGAAGAAAGGCATAAAAACTGTGGTTGGAAAATCCACGTCCTTCACCACAAGTCCTGTTTAGCAGTAGTCAGCTGATGTCAAGGATGCACAGACAGGCCTGCCAGCCCTCCTGAACTGTGCTGCATTTCACTGTTTCTTGGCCAATGATGAATTTACTGTGGTATTAGAGAACTGGAGGTTAAGGGACAAATGACAGCTAAAAGGACATWAGTAATTTCATCTTTCCAGATGAATAACTTTTGCACTGCTGGTGTTTTTTTATAAATACATCTATGGGTACTTTATGAGTTGTATCTGGATTTGTGAGCTGCCCATCTTGAGAGGCAGACAGGAGACAGATCAGACTGGGATGTATAAAATATGGGGAAGTGTTCAAAATCTCATTCATATTCTGAGGAAATGGGAGAACAAATAGTGGTATAGAGCCCATATTTACACCTGGTGTGTTTGTTCTGGGCTTTTCTAGAATGATGGCCTTTATCCTACCACCAGTTCCAGGACCAAAGATAAAAGGCATAGATACACATCTGCTGGAGGTGAGTACCACAGCTAACAATCAAAGAATTCACCATTACTCACTTTTCCAATTTACGTACTAGCAAGCACAACTACTATAGTAAAGTGCAATATTGTTATAATTAATCAGTGTTGAGAATAAGCAACATTTTCAGGCTGATCGTGTGGAGGGTATCTGTGAGTCAAAGTTTTGCCTTGCACTTGTTAGCAGGAGGATGTTTAAGAGCAGGGTTTGTGACTGCACTGTTTCCTGGGACACAAGGAAATGCCTCTGTGAATTTCCTAGTTATGGAAGATGCTCTCCACAATCTCTGGCAATGCTGAAGAGGCAGTACATGTCTGCACTGTCATTCTCCTTCATTTCCTTCTTGCTAAATTCAGGAGACCCATATCTGCTAAAAGCTCCCTGCTCCTCCCATTGAAGAAACATGAATTTTGGGATTGTATCTCTCCACTGAAGAAAGTCAGGGATTTCTCTTCCCTTCTTTTCAATATTTTCTGCAGCAGTAGAAATCAGGTTTAGGTCTAGTGATATTGAAGTTTGTATATCAAATATGTAGATTGTTCACAATTGCTCTAGTCAGATAAACCCTAAGGCTGACAATGAAAAATTGTATCYTCTTTATTATACCTTCAGACAGGAAAATCTGAAGAATTATTGAGTGCTCTCGGTTGCCATGGTTTCCCTCCAACATCAGACTGTGAGGAACTACTGATAGAATATCTGGAGGTAGAGGACGGTGAGGATCAGCAGCTCATGCCAAGACATGACACTCCCAGTAAAAACACAAAAATTATACTCAAGGAAACAGACAATGACTCAGGCCGAGGGAGCTGTGATAGCCCTTCTCTGCTCCCTGTGAAGTGCAGGGAATCCCGGTCCCTTCCATCCCCTCTTCAAACACAAGATGTAAAAGCTAAAGAAAAGAAAGGAGGAAAAGGAAGCTGGGAAACTCAATGCACAGCCTCAGAACAGAAAACACTCCCTTGTAATAATGAGAGTACAAAGTCGTGCACATGGCTTGCAGCTCAGCTGCCCAGTAATCAACCTGCTATGTTTGCCTACCACAGCACTGTGGAGGCATTTAAGATAACACTGACTACCACAAATGTGAACTCTTCACCAGTTTTGGTGGGAAATGAAGAAAATCATCAGTCGCTATACCCTATTGCTGAAACTGTCTATGATGGCRTAGAAAAGAAAAGCGAGATGGAGAATTCCAAAACTGACCAAACCRGAGTGCAGATCAGACAAAACCAACATAATGACAAGTCACCTTTCCTGAATCCCAAACTAATGGATTATGTAGAAGTTCATAAAGTAAAACAAGATGAGGAACCAACACTATTATTGAAACAAAAAGCAAGTAGTGGAAAGAGCAAAAAATGCACTGTTCCAGGAACCAGTAAAGAATATACCAAGGTCTCAACAGTTGTAGACCATCACATTTTAGTACTATTGCCAGATCAGCGCACCCAGCACCCACCTGTATCTCAAGAACCTGTGGCAGAAACATCTCAGAACCCTCAGCAAAGCCAAACTGAGAAAAATACAGGCTACAGCATGACAACTCCAAGTGAYTCCAGAAGAGACACCAGTGGATCAGACTACATGGACCCATCTTCTTTTATGCCCTCCTTTAAATAATCTTTTAGTACAGCACATAAATAGTGGTTAYATGCATAAAACAAAATCACATAGCAAACAGTCCTTTAAAAAAGCCTAGTCTCCAAAAGTCTAGCCTCTTGTGTGTATTGTATAGCTAATAAAATAACCTGTGGGTTGAGGTAACAGTCATGCGAGTATCTGGAGTATATATATCTGGAGTATCTGGGAGAATCCTGGATCAGTAGCACACATTTCTGACACAGTGAAATGAGKAAATGGATCTTGGGTGTCATGAAAAATACACTGTAAAATAATTATTCAGCTYTGCAAACCTTCTGTTAGTTGATTAAGTCTGAGGAAATACTGCAGGTTCAATGAAAATGAAAATGAAAATTGTTATGGGTCAGTCAGCAAACCATAGTGATCTGAGCAGTTCCTACATCAGATTAAATCATTGCACAATAGTATTCTTACCTACAATGTATTTTCTTCTGAATGCATTCTGATACTAGATTAAGTTTTCTTTATCTTTTTTCTCAGTTCTTGAGAAAAGAGGACCTCTTGTATGTGACAAATCATATATAAAAGAGAATATATTCTACAAATTACAGTAAAATAACAAATTCTTCTAAATATATTTTTGCTTTGTTTCAGCATGACAGAAAACTTTGCATCCCATTCATATCCTAGTCCTGACAAACCAAAATGAAAAAAGCAGGATAATATCTGATATACTGCCTTACTGTATATAATATACAATTCTACTTTAATATAAGCCCATATGTTTAAAAATGTATTTTTAAATGCTATTTTTCTATTACCAAAAATAGAGCAAAATAAAATATTTTTTAATTTCCCGATGCTATTTAGCTACTTAGGAACTTTTCTCTTTCCTTCTGCTGAGGCAGTAACAAGCAAAACTATGATTTCTATACAAAGCATAAAATTTAACTTTATACTAAATGAGAATATGAAGAAATTTTTAAACTATATTTCTAATATATTGCAGATGTATTAGTATTTGAATTTTAAATTATTTCTTTCACAGATCTTTTATTATCTATAATGATATAATCAAAATAGAATTTAGGTTTTGAGAGCAGAGCTTCTTTCCCTTTGAATTTATATTCTGATGCCAATTGTAAATGGAATGGGGTTCTCCTGTGTCCTGCACTTTTCTCTGAGCCTGAAAGGAAAGTTTGAAATCAGATTTTTCATAATGAATTTATGAACATCAGTTTTTGAACCGCACCCCCCTGCCCCAAAGTTGRAGATAAGAGGAATAAGGTCTGAGTCAGAACCCTACTGAAACAGCAGTGGGAACAGAAAGGATCCATTATATCCCATGTAACCAAAGACGGAATCCAAACGAGACTGTAGTGGCTGGGAAGTTACTGTGGTCCTTCCTTCTTGAAACGAAAGTTTCATTTACTCCAGAAAAGTAAGAGCATGTGATGACTGATATTAAAAACAGGCCAAATATTTAGCCAGTATCAGTAGCTTCAGGGGAAATTGGAAACTTAATGTGAGGGAATGGGAAATGGTCCTCTACCTGTGAAGGAAAGTGTATTTGATAGACGGGCTCTCTTTTGTTCTTCTCCTTCCTGAACAGATTCTCACCATATTTTTATGATTTTATGTACTGAGCCAGCCTTCCTGTGGTATCAGGTACCTGTTGCAGAGCCAGACACAAGAGAATTTCAGATTTTGAAGGTCCCAGAAAGCCACATCTAATTTGGTGAACCWAATTCTCACCCTTTACCTTCAAAGCCATGGAACTGCTCGAGCACAGATTTGTCAAGCTGTCTAGCGTTTCCAAAGGCAGGACTCTAGAGTTTAACTGTGTGTCTGTAATCATACTTACATATAGTAGTGTAGCCTGTAACAGGTGGCATCAGACTCAGATCCTGAGTCCACTATACAGGCAATTCCCCACTTTCAGAGGCTGATCAGAGCAGGCTGCATGYTCTGCCAAAGGTGTGAGAAGGTATCTAAGGCTCTTAATTCAGACACTCATTTAACACATGGAGACATGCAGTGGCTACTTCAGATATAAGCCAAACAAAACTCTGTCTAGTTATCATTAACAGAACAATTTTACCATAGACACACTGTAGCATATCTTTCAAATTTCTTGAGACGCTAGAAGTACTGCAAAGAAGCAATTGAGTTATGAGGGAACTTGATAACACACTGTGTCTGGCAGAGTTTTGTTTACCCTTCAGTTTTCTGACTCAACCTGACGGGGCTAGTTTGATCAGACACACTTTTTTACACAGATAGCCATATCTGCATTGTTCCTACACCTAGTGATGTGCAGAAGGATATGCTGCTGCATCCCTTCTGGGATGTACCTAGTGATGCAGAGAGGCTGCAGTACCTTAYCAAGCCTACAGCCTAAAGGTGTTCCTTACAGGGCAGATTTCTTAGGTTAGAACACAGGTGACTACCCACATGTACGACAGCGACAGGCTGTTCCCATCCTATCTTTTTACCTGAGGTGGTTTTTCATCTGAGGCAAACAGACACTACATTTAGCAGATTTTGAGTGTCTGATTCATCCTGCCTAACCATAGGCATGTGTGCCTCCAACAATCCACACAGAGTCAAAGAGTTCCTCTGCTTTGTCATAAATGAGTACTGAAACTGCAAAATACTTGTAGCATACATTACATCAGGTGGTGGTGCTGAGCATCTCCCACCTTTGCTGATGAATGTCACAATATGCCATCACGGCTCTCTGTGAAAAGGGAAAGTCACCCACAATGGAAAAGGGGCATTTGCTAGCTGCTTTAAAGCTTTTGGGGATTTGCTAGCTAAATGCAATTTGAACACATTGTCATAAATATATTTAATTCTTGAAGCTAAACAAATGTGCAGGTAGATTAATTTTCCCTTGGATTTACTTTTATTTTCCAAAACACCTCGTTACTCCCAGTGGCAGAGCTTCTGAAAGTGGCCTTAAACATCTGAAATTACATTAAAAAAAACCCCAAACAACTAGTGTTCTGTAAAATCAAAATAACCTTCMGCTAAGTGTTTGGTCCTTTGAATGTTCAACAGCTTAATTCTTTCTGTTCACAACAACATTTTGCTTGCAGCTCTTTAAGCTTTTGATTACGAAGTACGAGTTTTTGCACCAGTTTTACACAGTCAATCAATGTAAAATTATGACACACACAGTGGGGAAAAACAGGCTCTTGACACCTCCTTTGATATCCAGAGGGATAAAGCATWCAACAGAATTCACCCCAGGAACAGGGATTAGCCCTCTAGCTCTTGCACCRTTAGTCAAATTTTTCACTTGGAATAATTATTTCAAGAATGCGAATGATGTTTTCAATGTCAAAGTTATCCATGTGTCATTWATAGTGTGAATTATTTTGTAGGAGTGTAAAAGCCCTTAAAGGAAGCATAAAGACTCTTCTAAATTATTAGTTTTATAAAATTCCTAAAACTGAAAGTAATTGCCTTTAATTAATTGCCTTTCCTTCTGACTCAGACTAATTTTATTAACATTTTTTCTTTGCTATTGGCAAATAACATTCGTTATCTTTTTTTTTTTTTTTTGGCAGACATGTTTGATATACAATTTTGGTGTTTCTGTGTAGTATTTCAGACTTTTAAAGAAATACAAACTAATGAATTGGCACTGTGCTCACAAAACTCAATATCACATATGATAAGGACTAAGATCGGTCTTGATGATACTATACAACTACAAAGATTATTTAATAAAAATGCAGTGAATTAACCTTATATGATGTTAAAAGAGGATATATGTGTTTATGGAACAAACTGTAAAACAAATACGTAATGATGATTTATGTTAAACAGTGAATTATGTAGTGTATCTGTCTGTGTGTCTATGTTTAAATGGCTGAAAAATAGACAGCTGCTTTAAATGTCATTCAAGTATTCAAAGTGTAGTAACAGCAGATGTTCAAAACGAATAAGCAGATTTTTTTTGTGCTCTCTGAAGCATTGTATATGTGGGGTTTACATCATGAAGCCTGTAAGTGTATTTTGTAGTTTCATGGTAACTGTAAACAATCTGAAGGTGTTGTGCAAGGGAACTGAAGTTGTGCAAGCCAGTTGATAGACATCAGACATCTTCTACAAAGCCATAAAGACAAATGCAGTGAAAAAAGTGTCATGAGATCAATCATCACATTCTCAAATAATTGCTACCTCAGAATTTTTTTTTGCTCCCTTTAAAAGGCAGGCAAAAGCATTTTGTGYGTAGAATTGTGATTCATTCTACCAAGATTTAAAAAATCATAATTATAAGTTCACATTATTTTGGTTAACAAACAGCTTGCCATGCAATCATCATTTGTGTTGCAGTGGTAGTATGAGGATGGAATATTTGAGATGTGTAGCAAAATTGAATGTTTTTAATATGGGAAAAAAAAAAGAAAATACAATTTTGTAAGAAAATCCTTGCTGCTCATATTGGCAGTCAAGCATCGGTCGCATTCCTGACCAGAGAAGTTTTTTGTCACTATTTGTATTCCCAGGTCACTGGGACTGAATGAGCCAATTGTCCAGAGATGCTCTCATTCTGAATCTCAGCTATGGAACTTAGAATTTAGCAACACTTGCTATTTAGAATTACCTGTTTTCAACTAGGAAGCAAATCTTGCRGTTCTGTCTCTAAATGTGCAAAAATGGAGAGACTTGCTCTCAACAATATCAAACTAAAATCACACTAAAATCAGGCTCCAGTTCCTGTGTGTGTGGAAAGATGAACTGAACTACATTAATTTGAACAACTTTGTGGCCCTGTCTTGAGAATAATTTTGGAACAAATCAGGGATTTTCTTTATTTTTCTGGTGTATGTCAAGCAGGAAAATAAAGATAAATAGATGCCTAAATACATGATACATGGGGATATAAATAGCCTAATTTTCATAGAAACATGTAATTGTTKAGGTTGGAAAAGTCCTGTAAGGTCCTAGAGTCCATATGTTAACCCAGTACTGCCAAGTCCAACAGTAAGTGATGGGGAAAGGGAAAAGGTTGCTGCATGTGGCAGAATGGAAAAGCAGTACAGCCACTATGGGGTGGTACATGGCAGATGATGAGAGTAAAAATGCCTTTTGACTACAGCTGAGAAGTGGGGGGAAGAATAGAACAGGGGAGCAAAAGAATCAAATGTAAGAATAGATAGTAAAAAATGAGAACTAGCAGTAATGAGAGGAGTGATCAATAAGTTAGGGAAAAAAAGGAAGGGAATACCTTTATATCGGGAATATGCACAGCTACCTGATATAGTCCACAAAAGCAGTAAAGCCTTACAAAATGATAAAGAATGTCAGCAAAATGCTGAAATCAGCTGCTATGGATCAGCTGTTACATATGTGCAGAAAATATATATGAGAAGTGGTCATTCATAATCTACCAGTTATGGGATTTTTCTTCCCCATATCTGACATTGGTCCCAGGCAAACACAAAACTTGAAGAGCTAGACTCTGCATCTGATCTGCTGTTGCATTTCCTACATTCCTAAGGGAAAAAATCATAAAGAAATCATAAAGAAATAAAGTGAACCACACTGTTTCTAGTAGCAACCTTCTGTTTTTCAGACAGCTATACAGGTGAGATTTATTTATCCATTTACATTGTCCCACCCATATGCCTACCATTCTTAAGCATTGTTCTGTTTTTATTTACCATATATAATGCAATGACCAAGAAGCTCCAAGAGAAAAATTACTTTGGGGATATTACTAAGCAGTCTCTTGGCATTTCTGGGCATTGTTTTAGTTTATACCTGTGACAATRTATCTGTTAATATTTTCTTTAGTCAGAAAGTCCCTACCTTGGTGATAAATTTTGAAAATTACCAAGTTAGGCTTAAAATGCATCTCTTCTGTATGTTAAGCTTTTAAGAGGCGCTATTATATTTGTTGGAAATAGTTAAGAAAAATACATGAATTAGTTGTATGGCCTCTTATAGCACTGATATGCTGGAAGCTGATCTTTTATTCAAGATGTTGGTGCATAGAGCAGCTAGAAATAAAAAAAGTCTTTTTTTATATATTCCTCTTTTTGGAAGGTTTATTGTCCTTTTCTACTTGGTGATGCTGCTTGTCTTGGATCTTGACATTATTTAACTATTTTTTTTAACAATGCTGCTTTTGGATCTATTTTTGTCAGCTGCTGAGTACCTTCACCTCATTTTGACATCAATAAAAATGGAAAGATTTCATTTCAGTTCCTGCAATGGTTAGTTTTAGAGACTTGTAGCACTGAGTACAATTTTTAGAAGATGCTGAAAATCATTATACAAGTCGCTTGCAGAAAATATCCCTTAGGTAGGATGGAAAAACATGCATGTCTAGAAAAAGGCAGCTTTTTCTACAGGCAGAACTATAATGGTGTCAGATCATATTTTTGAATATTCATAATGCTGTAGACTACTCTTAATTCTCATCCCTGTCTTTCATTCCAAAAGGGAGAGGAGATGACTGCTCAGCTGTACTCAGAAAGAGCTCCTGCGCTGCTTTAGTGTTGTTTATTTTTCATTTTAGAAAGTAATTTTTTTATTCTGATTACAAAAACAGTTCATCATCTGAAATAATACAATCATCAGTCTCATATATGCRTTATATTGCTCAGAGATACTCAGCACTATCTTGGCTTCTGAAATCCTTATGTTGTGCTTTGTATATGTTTTTGTCATCGTGTAAGATACAGCAATACTGAGGGCACCTTTATGAAAAAAATACAGCCCAGAAAAAAAAAAAAAAAAACCACGTTAGCAGTCATTTACTAATTGTATTTGTTCAAAATTCTGACATGCTGTTATGTGAAGGTGAAAGTCCCTGGAAGTCCCTTGCCTTTAATTGTGCCAGCAGTCTTTCAAGGAAGCATAAATTGCATCTTGTGAGTAATATCCAGAATAAAAGTGTATCTTCAGCTGTAAGAAAGAGATGATCCAAAATTTAGGGCAAACTTATTTCCATCTGCATAAACCATTTCATTGGTAGATTTGCAATACAAGCAAGGCAATTTTTCCACTACAGTTTCAGAATTTGTATGCAATGTGAAACATGAGAGTTATCGCACTGTCATTACTGTAGCAACAGAATGACTTTAAGCACAATTATTCTATGAATCAGATCCAAATTTTTTTGTAAATTTCTAAAATAAAAGAAATTGTAACAATTAGATTTCATATGTAGTATGTACATTGTTTGGAGAATACTGGTATAAAAGTAGTTGCTCAGGAATTCTTCATTGTTTCTAAATGTATCTAAAGGAAAATGCTTTCAAATACATTTTTTTAGTTCTTAATATTGAAAATGCTGGCTTTACTAAAATCTGTTAGTGTTTTCACTTGTAAGATCAATATTGTTATGAAGTCTGTAGCTTTCCGCTGAATTTTTTGATCTTTTGTCATCGTAAAATCTCTTTGCAATGGTGTTCGCATTTCAGTTTAATAAAAGTTCATGAAAAAAAAATCCCAAATTCTGTATTTCTTCAATGTATGCAACATTTCTAGTCTATAATGCATAGAAAGAGAAAGGAAAATCCAGACAGCCAACACAGTCTGTAGGGCAGGATCCTGCTGTCCTCCATGGGGAAAGCTCTGTGATAGATGTGTTTGACCAACTTTGCATGCACTGAGCATTGAACCAGTTAGCATAGATGGTTCATGTACCAGGCCACAACTTTCACGTTTCTTTATGGCTCTTTCTGTTGATGTAAATGATCTTTATCACTAAAATTCAGGGATTTCAAGTCAGCAAAGGTAAAGTTTGATCRAGGTGGGTTTGGGGGAGTCCTGAGGTGTGTAAGCACTGCCCTGGTTAGCAGAAGGTACAAATCTCTGATCCTTTGCACCCACACTGGGCAGTTTTCCTGCAAAAACTGGGGCTGTCCCCAGGCTGCGTGTCATCAGCCTTGTGCCTTGGAGCAGGCAGGGTCACCAAAATCACTGTGAAATGCTTCTCATGGGCAACTTGTCTAGTTACAGTGTGTGCCAATCACCTTTCCAGGAAATGCCACCTCGAGGGTTTTGGCCAGGGCAGAGTTAGTTTTCTCACAGTGGCTGGTTTCCAGCTTTTACCATTCCAGTTGTCTCCCCGATCCCACTGATGGGGGTGTGAGTGAGTCCCTGTCTGGGGGCTTGGCTGATGGCAGGTAACAGAGGAAGGTGATAGAGCTTCCCACTTCTCCCATTCTTGTGGGAGGTTGTGCTACACCTCTTTTCTCACAAAACAAAATAAAAAAAAAAAGGACAGAATTGGTCGTCAGTTATCTTCTCAGAAAGTCTCTCCTCAGTAAGTTTCTCCTCATCCACCCAGATGTATTTTGCATAACAGAATTCACAGAATCACATACTGGCTCAGGTTGGAAGGCCAGGTCTGGTCCAACCTCCCCACTCAAGCAGCATCATCCCAGAGCACACGGCACAGGATCGCATCCAGGCAGTTCTCRAATATCTCCAGAGAGGGAGAGAGAGGAAAATCTGTTCCACTGCAAAGTCACACMCAAAGTAAAGGTTTTTCTCATATTGAGGTGGCATTTCCTTTGCATCAGTTTCTCCCATTGTCTCTCATCCTGTTGCTCAGCACCCCCGAGCACAGCCTGGTCCCTGCTCTGACCCCTCCCTGCAGACACTGACAGACATTGATGAGGTCCCCTCTCAGTTGTCTCTTCTCGAAGCTGAACAGACCCAGCTCCCTCAGCCTTTCCTCATACAAGAGATGCTCCAGGCCCTTGATCACCTTTATAATTCTCCGCTGGATCCACTCCAGGTGCTCCAGGTCCCTCTTGTGCTGTGGACA